AACATAAAAATAAGTATATATAAAGAACATAACACGCTAATTTTAAATTCTGAATCTGACCTAGGTGTAATAACACCTCATGATCTATATTCCACTAACTATAATTGTGTGAAATATCAAAGTTGCTTGTGTTTGATAGACCATTTTAGTTAACAACTATATATCTTATTGACCAAGTAGTTTTGGTTTTCAAAGATAAAAGCTTAAAATATGTTAAGTCTGTTGTTGATTACAAGATTGTAACTATACATGAGCTTCTAATAAATTTATTTACACTTGCTCATTTTGATTTCAAACTGTCAATTGATCAACTATGACTCAACTCGAGATCTGACCTTTTAAATATAGAAAGTGAAATAATGGGAGAGGGACGGTTAAAATTTGCGACAGAAGAATATAAAAATTTGCTGTCTTAGAAGCGCGTGTACACTTGCTTGAAGATAGCGCGTGATACCAATTGATTTAAGATATTTAAATAATTTGAAAACGTGAGAACCTCGACCATATAAGTTAATAAAGTACGGAAAAGAATCTCGACTATATAAGTTAAGATACTATAAAAACGGAAATAACTTAAATATCAATGCATGAGATTAAATTGCTGACAATACAAATGAAATATTATGGCAATAAAAATAATTTTAAACTTTAGAGCGTTACATAAGAATGTCAACCATATAGTTCACGAATAATCTAATATAGTAGGGTAATAACAGGCATAGATATTAAATATCATAGGAATTCTATATTTATTGATTCATAATCGATCAATAACTAAATAGTGCAGGCAATCACTAATGACAATATAGAATCTTTCTTTCTCCATTTGTCTTTCACCCTTTTTTTCAAGTGTACGTAAAGGCCAAAATTTAGTGCTAACTAGTTTCAGAGACGGTTTTTCTCGATAAGAGAGGACGAAGAAAAGAAAGAAGCAAAGGCTTTTGGCCAAAAAGGCAGACAACATTGTACTCACAGACAAAACCTAAACAGAATCTATCTGACGCATGAAAGAAATTAATTTATCTAATTAACACATTGAATTTGACGACTTTGTAAGACTTAATTTCCTTAGTTCAAACTGTACATTATATTTCATGAAACAAAAAAGTACAAGTTTCTTTTTGATGGTTTCGTCAATCAGATTGTATGACATGTACAACTCGCGAAATGATAAGCCATCAAATTCATACATATGTATGAAGAAAATCAATTCCTTCATGCAAAATTCAGAATATTTTTTCTTTTTCTTCTTTGTTTTGCTGGTAATGCAAAATTATCAAAGAGTGGACATCTGATGTTTTAACTGCAGAAAGCAAGAAANCCCCCCCAAAAAAAAAAAAAAAAGAGAAACAAACAAACAAACAAAAAATGGCTTGAACAGCAACAAACATTAATTTTCCATTTTTTATTTACTCATCAGATGATTCAATCACGAGACTTCAATTATTGAAAGGTGGTTCCGTGGGGAAAAATGACTATATTATCAGAATTGAGATGAGATGGTCATACGATTTAACAGTTTTGTTGATTATGCAGAAAAAAATTAGTAAATGGTTTAAGTCAATTTTATTATTTTTTTTTTGAAAAAAGAACAAGCATGGCTTGAACAACCATTTTCATTGCCAGTTTTTTATTTCCTCATGATCTGGTTTGGCTGATCCAATCATGAGACATTAAAAAAAACTGTTCCCTCATACAAAATTCTAACTTTTTTCTTTTCAACCCTCTCTTTTTTTTTTTCTTTTTTTTTGTGGTCATGTAAAATTGTTCAAGCGTGGACAAACTGATGTAAACAAGAAATTAATTAAGTGGTTTAAGCCAAAAAAGGAGGCTGGAACAACAACACATTGTCATTTCCGATTTCTTATTTACTCACGTCAAGAGCGAATTTAACGATACGATACTAGATTCATTTGAGTTCTAAGACATTTAATTTTTGCAAGATGGATTCATGGTGGGAAAAAGTGAAGATTTTACCTGAATTTGATGAACGAGTGATCCTACGCTGATTTGAGTTTTGGCCTCGTTCCATATATGTTTTTTAATTTATATGCTATGAGTTAACTGTTGTGGTGTTAATAAGTAGTACAACAGTATGATCTTTTATAGGCAGCTTCTAAAACTAGGTTTCACGAACTCCACGGGAATTTTCTTTTTACTCTCATCATTTTTTTCAAATGGACAAAATTTGCACTTGTTTTTAGTGGTGTTAGTAGTGTGAATTTTCTCGTGTTCTTTTTTGTGTACAGTAAAGTTTATTACAGAGACACTAATTAGAACCATGCATGCCATTCGTCCTTCCACCTAATAATTAGATTCTAGTAACATACAACCGTGCATACACCAAGTTGTTTACTTTTTTTTTTTTCTTTTTTCTTTTTTCTTTTTTTTTTTATCAGAATTTTTTTTATTCTTAAAACTCGAACCTAAGACCATTGATTAGCAAGATGTTTAGTTAATTTAACTCTACGAAAATTAGTCACAAAACAAGTGAGTCAGCTTTCTTTGTTTGTGTGGTTTTTTAATTTATAATTTTCTTTCCTTGATTATGAACCATTGATATAGCTTCTGAATTATTTTATTGAAATTTGTATTTTTTTTTCTTTGTCATACTTTTTAAGAACATATGTGATGCTACTATATTTACATGGTGCATAACAATTAAAGAATAAGCAATATAGAGAGCTTTCATTTTTTTTGAATTTGATGTATTTTGAAGAATTGGAGAAGTGGAGGTTACGATCTTTTAAGACACCTGTTAATGAAACTATCTCTTTAATGTATTTTGGAGAATTAATAACAAAGGTTAATTATCTTCGTTTAATTTACACCTATGATTGCACTTGTGGTGCCCAAAATAATTACAGATCAGCCTCTAATAAATTATTAATTTGATCGATGCATCTTTTAACTGGCTCGAATTATTCATATAGTGCTGTTATAGCAAGAGTTTCTCATTTATTTGAAAGAGCAGTTAATCTGGTTTATGTGAAACTTCTCTATAGGATGGGGTAGTTGTATGGGTCAAAATCTGTCCTAGAATATTTAAGATAAGATAGCAATTAAAGAAAGATTCTCGGTTCGTCGTTAGTCGAGGTGGAGCAGGAAGTAACTAGACTCATAGCCGAAGAGACGACGAGAGCCGTGGACGAGATGTCGATAACGGTTGAGGACGGTCACCGTTGATGAAGCTGTAACATCTAGTTTTCAAAATAGGATATTAAAAGGAATATTCTAGTGAATATTCTCTACACTTGTACTATTAGGGTTTACTATGATTATGTCTCATATAAATAGAAAAAGAGACAATCATATGATGCATATAATATTCATTTGTAAGAACAGACTTTGACAAAAGATTCTCTTTCTCTCTTACTAAGATACAAACACTACCTTTTCATCAAGACTCTTATCTATATTATTTCATACTTTTTCATCAGATCCGAGAATAATTCGAACATTCAAGGATTTGTCTGTCACTCATCATTGTCAGGAGAACAACCATCTAGTTCATCCTTTATTGGGTGAATCACTCCTCCTATTTACTTAAATGTCATTTATTGTTATTAAATGCTATATTATTGCTCATACTTTTTGGAATAGTTATTGCATACTGTTATCATTTTTCTACCAAATCTATTCGACGCTAATCACGCTTTCGGAAGTCACATCTAGAAATATTATTATTAACTAGGTTTAACCCATTATCACATGAATTTAATTATTTAAACCAAAACTTATATTTTTTGGCCAAACAATTTGGCGCCGTCTGTGGGGATCTCATAGTAAAAGCTTTTAGTTTCTTCTAGATCTACAACTATCACAAGTCACTAACATAAAAAAAAAATAAAAAGCAAAAACGAGATCTCCTTTCTTTGTGTGCACAAATCCTAATATGGCAGATAACCAAGAAGAAAAGATGAGAATAATAAGTGACCTCCCAACCAACCTCATGAATGTCATCAACGAAAGCTGTAAAATGGCAGACGAAGGCGCGACGCCTAGTTCCTCCCCTAGGTGAGATGGGTCCCCGTCCCCTCACTGCAGCATCACAAAATCTATTGGTAAGGGAGCCCCTACATCTGTGGGGGAAGAGACACCCCCCGCTGTAAAAAAGCTCCTCGAAGCGTGGCTAACTGACACGCTAACCAGCGTCCTCAACAAGCCCGCCCGGGACACGACTACAGAAAACGCAAGGACTTGCACCATACAACTAGCAGACGAGCAGTGCAACTAACTCCCTCTTCCTCCAACGAAAGGTATTACTCACAATGTCATTAATAGTGCAGGTGACAACGCCCTTGCAGTCATTCTGAAAAGGATGGAGGAAATAGAGAATGAGAATAAGGCACCCCGAGATCAAATGAAAGAGCACCAGGAAAGGGTCGATAAAATACCGGGCGCCCCCAAGTTGTTGTCGAAGAGGGACGTCGGCCGGTTCGTCGAACAGCCGTACAATGATGATGCAGCCCCGCATGCTCTACCAAAAACCTTTAAAATGCTGCCCTACCTCAGGATATATGACAGTACAACCAACCCCAAAGATCATGTGACTCATTACGTCACTGCCGTAAAAGTCAACGACCTCGCCAAGGAACAAGTGTCTTCCATTTTGCTGAAGAAGTTCGGCGAAACCCTCACAGGAGGGGCATTAACCTGGTATTCGCAGCTACCAGCACGCTCCATTAAAACCTTTGAAGAAATGGCCGACAAGTTCGTAACGGTCCACGCCGGAGCCAAAAAGGCCGAAGCAAGAGTGAACAACATATTCGTTGTCAAACAATCTATGGGAGAGGGAGTGAGGAACTTCCTCGCCCGGTTCAACCGAGTAAGGATGACTTTGCCAAACATGTCCGTAGGTATGGTGGTCACAACTTTTCAGAACGGGATGAGCAAGGATGGTTCAAGAGCGACAAGGAAACTGTTAAGTCGGTTGAAGAAGTGTCCCCCAACCACTTAGGATGAAATCCACAATGCTTATTGTGCTGAAGTCCGCACAGATGAGGATGACCTCAACGGGCCGACCCACCAGCTATCTTCAGTACAAGCGGAATCAAGAAAGGATCGAAGAGACAATGCTAGAAGAGATTACCCAATTCCGCGAACTAACAGGGAACATCACCAACCATATATCAGAACGGTCGTCGCCCCCTCCCCCCGCTACGAAGAAGGTCCATCCAGACCAAGGACGGGACCTCATCGAAACGACAGAGGTATGCCCCCTATTATCTGCTCACAATTTTTGTGTGTCACCTACAGAGATAGTCTACGCCCTAGAGAAGCTCGGACCAAAAGTGAAGTGGCCACCAAAGATGAGATCAGACCTTAATACCAGAAAATCCGACACCCTCTATGAGTTCCACCAGGAACGAGGTCACAAGACGGAAGACTGCATTGCCCTAAGGCAGGAGGTCGTGAATATGCTACAACAAGGACATCTTAAAGAGCTGCTAAGCGATAAGGGAAGAACCAATTTCTCCAGAGGACGCGAACATCAAGGGCCACCCAAATCGCCCTCACCAGCCCGTACCATCAACATGATCATCGAAGACGACACCTTTATCAATAGCGTGAAGTTCACCACTACCCACAAACTCAAGCGATCTATCACCTGCGAATTGTGCGATGAACTCGAAGAAAGTATCATCTTCGGCAAGTCGGATGCCGACGGTTTGGTCTTTCCTCATCATGACGCCCTCATTATTACTCTGCGAATTTTGGATACTGATGTTAAACTTATTATGATAGATGATGGAAGCGGCGCATGCATTATTCATCCCCGAGTACTTACCCAAATGAAACTCGACGATAAGATAGTGTCACGCTGCATCACGCTAACTGATTTTAACAATGCAGTTAAACGGACATCCGAGAAAATTACTCTCCCCGTCTTGGTTGGCGGCGTAACTCTGGAAACAACATTCCACATCATGGACCAAGATATCATGTACAATGCCTTAGTGGGACGACCGTGGATACACCCCATGAAGGTCGTCTCCTCCATCTTATACCAAGTCATCAAATTCCCAACTCCATAGAGAATATTCAGCATACAAGGAGAGCAATGTACATCCCGCGAATGCTACCGCATTGCTTCAGATAGAACGGCCTCCCAACAAAGGAAGGACAAAGAAAAAGAGGCATAGCAATCAGCAGGGTCGAGGTCGGGGCATGAAGAGATCAGGGAAGGCATCAAAGATCCCGACATAGTCAAAATCGCAGGGTCGACCATAGAGGACCTCGACCCCGTTCAATTAGACCCCAATGACCATAGCAAGAATTCCTATATTAGTTGTAAACTTCAGGACCCAGGTAAATTCAGTCAATTCTTAAAAGCTAACGCGGATTTGTTTGCTTTTAGCCATGCAGATATGTCGGGCATCCCAAAGGAGATTGCCATGTACAAATTAAACATCGACCCTTTCTAGCCCCCGATAAGGCAGGTCAGGCGTAAATTCAACTCCGCAATCAATGTCGCAGTACGCGAGGAAGCGGAAAACTGTTAGAAAATAGTTCCATCAGGGAATCAAAGTACCCCAAGTGGGTCGCCAATGTGGTAATGGTTAAAAAGAAGAATGGGAAATGGTGGATGGGTGTAGACTTCACAGACTTAAATAAAGCATGCCTAAAGGATTCTTTCCCGCTGCCTCACATCGACCAAATCATTGATGCAACGGCCGGACATGAGCTGCTAAGTTTCTTGGACGCTTACTCAGGCTATAATCATATCATCATAGAAGAGGAAGATCAGGAAAAAATCACGTTCATCACCCACCAAGGAACGCACTGCTACAAGGTCATGCCCTTCAGATTAAAGAACGTAGGGGCGACCTATGAAAGGTTGGTGGAGAGGATGTTCAAGGATCAGCTCAGTAAGACAATGGAAGTATATATAAACGATATGCCCGTCAAGTCGAAAAGAGGAGAAGATCATATCTATCATTTGAAAGAAACTTTCCACATACTCATACATTACAAAATGAAACTAAACCCGGAGAAGTGTGCGTTCGGCGTAGGGTCAGGAAAATTTCTAGGTATCCTCGTATCACAGCGAGGGGTCGAGGTCAACCCTGACCAAATTAAAGCCATTGAGGGGATACCCGAACTCTTGACCACTAAAAAATAGGTCCAAAGGTTGACTGGCCACATCGCCGCCCTATAAAGGTTTATCTCACGGTTGTCGGAGAGGTGCCATAAATTCTTTGGCGTACTTAAGAAAGATAACGGCCTCCAAAGGACTTCGGATTGCGTCCAGGCTTTGAGGGAACTAAAAGCATACTTGTCGTCGCCACCCTTGCTTTCAAAGCCAGAGCTGGGCATGCGTCTCCTCGTTTTCTAACCGTATCCAAGGTAGTTGTGAGCGCAGTCCTAATTTGAGAAAATAAAGGTAATCAATCTCCCATCTATTACATCAGCAAAACACTAGTCGGTGCCAAGACGAGGTACCCGCACCTCGAGAAACTAGCTTTGGCCTTAGTCGTAGCTTCACGGAAGCATAGACCGTGTTTCCAATGTCACTCCATCTTGGTCGTCACAATTTCCCATCTAAGAAGCATTTTACATAAACCCGAGCTATCGGGAAGGCTGGCCAAATGGGCCATCGAGCTCAGCGAGAACGATATAACGTACCAGCTGCGAACGACGATAAAGTCACAAGTGCTCGCTGACTTTATCGCCGACTTCAGTGCAAAAATAATGCCTGAAGTCAAAAGGTAAGCACTCCAAACTGCCACCCCCCAAACACAAGACCTCTAGGTCTTATACACCAATGACGCATCCAACGCGTTGGGGTCTGGACTCGTACTCGTACTCTTAAGTCCCAACAGGAGAAGTAATTCGCTTGTCCATAAGGTGCCCGGACATGACTAACAACGAGGCCGAGTATGAGGCCGTCATTGCAGGTTTGAGACTAGCACTCAAGTATGGGGCAAATTGGTTAAAACTATAGTGTGATTCCCAGCTCGTAGTCAACCAAGTCACAGGGACTTTCCAAATCAAGGAACAAAGACTGAAAAAATACCAGACCAAAATCTGTAAGCTGCTGCCCGAGTTCGACGAATGTCAGCTCCACCAAATTCCAAGAGCACAGAACGCCAAGGTAGATGGCTTCTCTAAACTAGTCGCAGCTACCAAAAGCATCACAACAGGAGATAGAAATGTGGTCCATCTTCTCAACTCCTCGCTAGACCAAGTCTAGGTAAGAACCATTAATTTAACTTGGGACTGGCGCAATCATATTATCATATACTTGCAGGACGTCACACTCCTAGGTGATAAAAAAGAGACCAGGAAACTAAGGATGCAAGCAGCCAGATACAGTATCCTCCATAACGACCTATACAAGAGAACCTATGGTAGCCATTTAGCAAAGTGCCTTGGACCAAACCAGACTCAGCGCATCCTTGAAGATATCCATGAAGGCCATTGCGGGGCTCATTCCGGTAACCAAGCACTGGTCAGATGCCTCGTGCAGGTGGGATATTATTGGCCCACCATGAAAAAGGAGTCCGCAGACTTCATAAAAAGATGCGAGCAATGCCAGAAGCACGTCCTAGTGATTCACCAAGCGGGTGAACACCTCCGCTCGGTCATCTCACCTTGGTCGCTCATCAAATGGGGAATGGACATCGTAGTCCCCGCCCTACAGGACGAGGTAACGTACGATTTTTTTTAGTTTTAACTGACTATTTCTCTAAGTGGATGGAAGCAGGAGCATTCGCCCAAATACGGGAACAGGAAGTAATCACGTCTATATGGAGAAATATCATATATCGTTTCGGCCTTCCCAAAGAAATCAGCTGCGACAAGGGACCCTAAACACGGGCAAGAAATCGCCAGATATTTTGAGAAATGGCATATAAAAGAATAGTCTCAACCCCGTACCACCTCGCGGGCAATGGGCAAGTACAGTCCTCCAACAAATCGATACTAAACATCATGAAAAAGAAGCTTGAGGACGCCAAGGTACTGTGGCCGGAAGTCCTACCAGAAGTATTGTGGGCATACCGAACAACTCTAAAAATGAGCACAGGATAGATGTCCTACTCTTTGGTCTAAGGGACCGAGGCGGTAATACCAGTTGAGGTCGGAGAGCCCAGTCTAAGGTACTCCCACGAGAGCGGCCCAAGCAACAACGAAGGCCGAAGACAGGAACTCGACGAAGTCGACGAACGAAGAGATATGGCTTATATAATAATGATCACCCAAAAACAACAAGCAGAGCGCTATTATAACAAGAAAGAAAAGGTTAGGCCGCTCAAAGTCGGGGACTATGTACTGAAAGCTAAAACCCAAGCGAGCAAAGATCACATGGAAGGTAAGCTGGGAAAAAACTGGGATGGTCCGTACAAAATCGGAGCAAAAGCCAATAAAGGATCATTTCAACTAGAAACAATGGAAGGAAATCTACTACCAAACAACTGGAAGATCAGCCACCTCAAATACTTCAACTTCTAAAAGAAAGAATGTTCCCCAAGTCGTACTCTTTTTTCCCTCACTTAAGTTTTGTGCCAGTTGGGTTTTCTCAAGGAGTTTTTTAACGAGGCGACGAAGGGAACACTCCAAGTCGAAGTACGCGAAGGCAAGGTCCTGGTTACTATTTCATTGCTCGACCTCTCACTACTCTCCAGATTGACAAATGAAGGGACTAGATAGACCGAGACTGGGACTGGAATGCCAGCCAACACCCAAAATCTATAAAATTCTCCAAGTATGTAACAAATGCAATAATTTCAAGGCAATAAACTTTACACTTACCAGCGCATTTCTCTCAAACTCAGGTTATGTTCGACCTCACGCGAACGAACACCTACCGGCCCTTGGCCATAATTAAATTCAGGTTATGTTCGACCTCGCTCGAACTAACACCTACCGGCCCTCGACCATAACTAAACTCAGGTTATGTTCGACCTCGCTCGAACTAACACCTACCGGTCTTCGGCCATAACTAAACTCAGGTTATGTTCGATCTCGCTCGAACTAACACCTACTGGCCTCGATCACAGCTAAGTTCAAATATGTTCGACCTCGCTCGAAATAGAAACAGAAGCAAAAACACGCAAGTACAGAAAATAAACCACAAAAAGGAAACAAATGCAGAAAACAACTTTGGCATTCCATTTCATACGTAAATAATTTTTACAAAAGCTCGTGAAGACGCCAGCAAAAATACATAAGCTTACACCACCACCCTAACCATCGATACCTGGGCCATCTCGATCCATGTCTTTATCATCACCTTCGCCCTCAGGGTATGCATCATCATACCATGCGTTCTCTTCAATCCAATCCACATCCCCGTCCCCCTCATCATCACCTGCCTCAAGCGTGGCGGGATCATATCCACAA